CTGCATCTCAGTTGGTGCTTATAGCAGAATACAAAGCAGTTTATACATAACAGGCAGCGCTAATCTAACATGGTATCAATTCACTGTTCCACTCACGTGGAACAATTCTGCAACCGTTGTTTCGTGCACTTTTTTCAATGTTTGCATGGTTTCAAAATCTGGATGTTTTCTAAATCATTTCGAACAGCTGTGTGATTTGTTAACTTATTCGGGATTTCCATCACGTATCAACGACTAAACATGGGGTCAGTTTAGAAACCCCAGAGAGTGTTTACGTCTTCGATTGATGAATTACATGCGGACACTGCAGAGCGGTAATCACTATAAAAAAACACTCGACGATGTTTTCACTTGACAAAATCTGGGTTATTGATATGTAATAACTTTTTATGACGATGGCCACATATGCCAGTGACCACCTGGAAGTTGTACAAGCCACGTTAGCAAATAAAAAAGCACCCTCAAATCGGTAAACCTTTCCCAACAACACGTGTTATTTACAATGATCGATTCGATACAAACCGTGTTTCCTCAGGCAGCTTATTCTATTTTCCTGCGTTTAAGTTTTACGGATTGGTGTAAAAGAGAAATCGTAAAATTGATTTTTGGCCTGTAGCTATATTCATTTATTGATTCACGTGTAAACACCAATAAATTGAGTTAAAGTTCATTTGGTTACATATTCGAAACAAAACAACCAAGTGGAGAAGAAGCTCGTTTTCAGCTATTCGTATTTATGGCAATACATGTCAATATATATTTCACTACTTGGGAATAAAATTGTCTTGGGAAAATAAAATGAAATCACAGAATACTACAAACGATTTCATCATGAGACCGGAAATCGGATTCAAGCTAAAAGAAGAGCTCTGTAGAATAACTTCCGCCCCATATTGACACTCTTTACATGCACACACCCAGTACCACTATCCTACTGTCCATTGTCTTCCCTTTGACCGTGCGATGTTGATTTCATCCCCTCATTGATCCGTACCTATGACTGTTCTCCACACCGTTTACACATACGCTGACACTATTCGTATGTTTGCCCCATTACGTTGACCTCTGTCGGTCTCACCCATCCCATCGACCCATCCCCATGATCGACTGACTCTGATGCTTGTGTAAACACACGCACGCACACACCTACACCCACTCACCGCACTGTCCTGTCACGACGGGCCCTGGTGACACATTCACATCCACTGTGTTGTGATTCGTTCCCTCTAGGTCGCTTCTCACTGTTGACCACCACAGATTCATGTGATCTTGTTCGACATCGTTCGGTGTATTCGTTCTATTGTCATCGCACTGCATGCCTGCTTGCTCGCAGTTCTTGCTTGTCGAATCGCTGGCTTCACAGATTCCGGTGTTCGTTAACCGTCTAGTGCCACAGTTTGAGGTTTGCATATTTTACACTATTGTAATCTGTATTTCAGTACCGCTTTTGTAATAGAAACCCATTTGTTGAAAGACACCGTCTTCCGGTTTTATGCGCGTCACTCTACGTGGATCGTTGTAGCCTGTCAAGTCAACAAGCTCCGTACTATAAAATCCATCTTTGCACGTAACGGGCATCCGGAGCGTTTAGTAAACAAAGTGAATCAGTGCGCATAAAACTCTTTAAAAAATACAGGGGTTAGGAAAAAATCCGTGTACATTTCTTTACCGTTCAAAGGGAACACATAAGTTGAGATCATATAAAGAACATTATCCGACGTAGTCAATTCAAATTTGTTCGCATCCAAGCCGATTGTGTTTGCGACTGAAGGACAACGTTCCAGACTCTGCAGTTTCATTTTGTGTATACTCATTTACTTATTAATGTGGAACAACGTACAGTGTCCGAACACATTCGTGAACACCACCCTGCTTGGCTGAACACTGACCGGAACGATTAAGCTACTCTCCAGTGCAGTAATTTCACACCTAGCTGAAACAAATCACACTGCGGACGTATCTACCCCCTGTATGAAGTTCGTGGGCGATTATCGAGACAGGTTTACTGTCGGATGCCAGTTACAGCATAAGCGGTGATCATCCGTCTGCACAAGCCCCCTCCGTGTAAGCGCTAAAGCTACCATGGCCCCCACACCCCGTATCACGAGTAATCTGGATGAACGAATGAGTGGACAAACAAATATGTGATGTTGTTTTGGGCCACAAACACTGCTGATCTCAGTACTAGCCAGCGCCTCCTAGTTTCAGTTCAGGCTTCATTTTCTATATACGCGACGAATTCACCTTTGAAATGGAATGAAATCCTCCGTTACTTACGTGAAATGTGTGATCGTAGTGAAACCAATTTTCGGGCTCATAATGAAATCGTTTCCAGTAATCTGTGATTTCATTTGATTTTCCCAAAACAATTTTATTCCCAAGAAGTATGTTTTGACATGTAGTGGCATGAATCTCTGAAAGCAAGCTTGTTCGCCATTCTGTTGTTTTGTTTGAAATGATTTCACATTTTTTGTTGGGAGGAGAAAAAATTAAAGCCTTCAACTAAATTTTGAGCCTAAACAATTATTCGATTACAGTGAGTTTCATTTCACATTTGCCTTATTTTGCCAATCGTTAACGTCGAAAACGATCCACTTCGGGGGATAAAAAAAAATCATCAGTATCATCAAATGTAAACCTTATCTGGTGAAATAGCACTACTGATAAGATTCAACCGGGTCAAAACAGTTGTCCAGTGCTTCCCAGATTTCTAGGTCACGCCTCATGCACACGAGAAATTCAACACACGTAATGAAATCATCCTCCACCACTCACGTATAAAATAAATTTTAGTCACAAATTAGACCTTAATTTGTTTTATCGTAGGCGTTCAAGCCCTCAAGTCATAATACATCTAGATTCCTAGACGCCAATTTTTGGTTTTAGAACTCAAACGATTTGCTGAAATTATATCTAAATCTTCAGTGACGCTTTACATTATAGACCGTTCACACTTATTATCTTTCGAATAAGCCGCTACACCATAGATCATTTCACATTACCTCTCCACCTTCTGAATAATTAATTGAAGTATCCTGTGAACTAACTAAGTTGAAGCAACTATATGCGAATGGTTTCGAAACGCTGTATTTGTCCGCTCAACTGTCGTAAAAATATAAATAGCATTATAATGGTATGCATGAAAACACAATAGTTCGATGTCTGTTCTTAAATAACTTGTGAAAAGCATAGCTCTGTGTCATTATATTCATATAAAACGATGTATATTTTCGATTTTTAACACCAAGGATAAGATAAGTTTGAAACGTGTTTAGGGATTTCTGTGGTGTGTGACGTCTCGAAAGACCATATGAAAATTCGATTCCCCAATTCTCGACTGAACACTAGTCATATGTGACTTGACTTGATACGATCAAAAAGCTCACTTCATCAGTAGGCGAGGCACCATAATGCGGTGCTCGTCATTAGAATAGTCAGTTATCCCAAAACTATCGAAATGCGGTTTATTTTTTTCTTGTTCATTGATTGAGAAAAGTTCAATCCTTCCAAATCAATCCTACTTCAGGAATCCAATCAGATAGATCCGGAAGATTCGCAGTAATGCAGCACCCGATTTCTCGCATATTTTGTGGCATGTAAGTTTTGTTTTAGCTCAGAAATACATGAACAAGATCACACTGGCGAAAAGGTATCTAAAATAAAATAGTCGGACAATAACCAACTGGAATCATTGTACTGGCACCAGAGTAGTAGTGGTCGCAGTAATAGCAGTTCATCAGTGTTTATTTCTGGTGTTTAAGAATCTGTAAGTGCAGTCCATTTTTCAAAACAAGAACGTTAAGTTGTTCTGACAGCGAACAAAAGTAAAATAAGTAAACACAGGTGAGTAAATTAAAATAACACTAATCGGTAAAAAGGTGGTTAACTAGTAAACCCACCTAAACATGGGGTTACACGTGTAGGATGATAGGGGAAACACATGTAAATGCCTTCGTTTTGAATGAGACAGTTCCGGAACATAGAGCAGGCCCGTGGTGAACACATTGTTGAAGGAACCCTGAAGGAGTCTATGGCAGATGCATGGCTGATTCAAAGTCGAATCATAGTCCTACCAATTCATCATCCTGATTTAAGTCAACCGTTGTACTGTGTGAACAAATATAGACAAATTTATCAGCTGATCAAAGGACAGACAAATTTAATTTGACATGCTTCAAACATTTTGAACTATTGCAGCATTTAATGTGCCCAGAAGAATTTAATGATATCCTCAGACGACAGTGCGGGTTTCGCACCCACGAACATGCAGTATTCGTGCTTTATTGCTTAGTTCTTTCGCCGTAGCACAACACACGGTCTTTTGATGAGCCAGACAGACTAATAGGTTCACAGCTAAGGTAAACACGTGGCATGGGATATAGTTGGAGGGACAGGCATGAATGAACTGACATGCGTACGAATGCACAGACAACAAACAACAACGACCTTATACAGAATTCGACTATAGATCGACTGACGGATAGACAGACACACTGACCGATGGTGTGAGTGTTGAATCAGTGATTGGTTGTTGACCGACCACAGTCAACCGCGTATTCCCCTCCTCCCAGCCCACCCCTCTCTGAAACGATTCACGCTTGCACCTGGTTGGGTTAGTGCTGATGGTAGTGCTGTTGAATGTGGTGGTGCCGAAGATGGTCATAGTGAAGAAATGCATGGAAAATACGTCATGGGTGTGTGGGACGCTCGCCCCAGAAGAATTGTATACAGTACACGAACAAAGACACACCAATATCCCGGTGCCTTGATATTCGCAGTCATTATTTGTAGGCCTCCTTTTCGGAGCGAATATTACTGTGATATGCCGATTAGGGATTAATACAGTGGAAATTGTTCCCGAGACAAACATGTTCTTCCATGGTATTTACCTATTTGCATTAACCGTCGGCACCATTTCCCAGGTGTCACCATACATGATTGTGTGACACGTCTATTGCGTAATTTGTCCATCCAAAACTATGTTTGTTTCAGCCACCTCTATGTGGTCCTCATACGTTTTTCAGCGAGTTGTTTGGAATTTATTGCATCTCGCCTGCATTATCCTCATCCGAACACAAAATTTGGTATTTGCGCAGATCACGCTGGAATTCACATTAACCGAGGAATGTCCGTTGCACACATTTATAGGAAATTTAAACGGTGCTCCATTGACCACAGTCAATGTCCCCTCTTATCCTTTGAGCACATTCCAATTGCTCACGCAAACCAATCACTTCATCCTAAACGAAACCTCAGGTGATCTTTTCACTCGAAACAGAATCGATCGGGAACGGCTCTGTCCTCGACAAATGCAAACATCCACATCATTGGATAGTACAGTTCGGATGGACTTGGAAAAACTGAATTTTGGTTCCCCCACACACCCAGATTTAACTAACACTGGCACCGATAATGTGTGCAAAGTTCAACTTCAAGCCTTACAATTTACACAAAAAACGGGATCGAATACTGAGCCAATGACACATCGCGTTATTTTGATCAAGGTGATCATTCTGGATGTGAATGATAATCCGCCTGGATGGCCAGAGAGCGTCATTCACCTATCGGTACCTGAACATTCGCCGATCGGAACCCGGCTGCCATTGCCAGCGGCTTTCGATCCAGACTGTGGACCAATCAATACGACTATGAGCTATGTGCTACGCGATCTGGCTTCAGACGATCGAGTTCAACACAGCCAACTAGGTCCGTTTAATCATGAGGCGTTTCAGTTGGATACCGAATTTTTGCCCAGTCCCAATCAAGTTGATGTTGGTCTTGGAAATTTGCCAAACTTGTGGCTCATCAGTGGCTGCAGCAGACGTATGTTTCGTTTGTGGCTTCGAGTTGTACGCGACCTGGATTACGATAATCCGGAATCTGTAAATAGTGTTGGACAACAACAGCAGCAGCAGCAAACACAACAGCACCAAGCCCTATCCGGCTTATTTGGAACGAATCGGTTGCATTTAAGAAATGCACGACTACAACTCGTTGCCGCTGACGGTGGTCAACCGACCCCGTTGACTGGACATGTTATGATAAACATTACCGTGACCGACATAAATGACCATCCACCCATTTTTCAATTGGGCAGTGCAAATCAACCTCCAAAAGAATTAGGTGCAACGGGAATCGGGGATGTAGCCAGGCAGGAACAGATGGAGATAGAGGAAAACACCCCTGTGGGTAGAGTGGTTTATGTGGCCCGTGCAACGGATGTAGACGACATAGATAATGGTCATTTGCTTTACCAACTAGATACATCCGCAAGTTTGTCAATAAAAAAAATGTTTGAAGTAAATGCCAAAACCGGTGAAATTGTACTTCTACAGTCCCCAGATTTTGAAAGACAACGAATATACAATGTTCCCTTAACTGTATCCGACGGAAAACACGTGACCTCTTTGAACTTATTTGTAAGAATCCGCAATCAGAATGATCATCCCCCAGTAATCACCATCCGACCGGTTGGTCAGCCAAAAGATGAACATGGATCAAAATTAGGCACCAGTTCATCGCATCCGACTAGTTCACTGTTTCCTCACGCGAAATCAGTAGCACTTTATGTAGTAGAACATGACGCACCTGGACGATTTATTGCAACGGTTACTGTGACAGATGTGGATGATATAACGGGAATCGAAGAAGGCCCAGGTTACTCCGGTGAAGGTGGATCTAACCTAGACTACCTTATGCCGGGGTTAGCTGGTACATCGGACACCATGAACCTCGGAGCCCATTGCAAACTAAGTCACGCTGGACTTGCTTTACGACCCCTGTTTGAAGGATCTACGAATCAGTTTAAATTAGTCACTCAAACTTCATTTGACCGGGAACAACAAACGGAACAGTTTGCAACACTCACGTGCTTCGATCGTGGACATCCCCCGTTATCTACTCAACTTGGAATACATTTGATTATTGAAGATATTAACGACCACGGACCCATATTCAAACACACTCCCATGATTGCACATCTGAAGGAGAACGAACCGATTGGGACAAAGGTGTACACGGTGGAAGCCCATGATCCAGATGTGGGTGAGAATGCGCAACTCGGGTTTGCTTTAGACGATCTGAACTCGAACGATTTCACCATAGACTCCCGTACTGGGGTCATTTCCAGCTTGCGTTCGTTCGATCGGGAACAACGAGAATACTTCAATCTTACAGTGATTGTGCGTGATCAGGTGTCCAGATCAAGCAGTGCAGACGGTCTGGAGTCCATTGCGAATCTGCGGCGAACTGGCAAATCAGAAACAAAGGAAACCGCGGAACACAAAGTCACTGGTTATGTGATTGTATATATAAAGGATGTGAATGATTGTCCACCTATATTTCCCAATTCTTTGTATCAACTTTCGGTCTCTGAAGATGCTAAGATTAATCTGCTCATTGGACAAATCAATGCTTCTGATGCGGATGCTACTGAAGCTAATAATCAAGTGAGTTGAGCTGCTCCAAAGCCAATTTTAATGTAACCTACTTTTTATTAAACTATCTAATATAACCTTGAGTAAGAACACTAGTTTGCCAGTTTTGATACCCATGCTAAATGAAAAACAGATTTTCTTCGTAAACACTATAAAGTGATTTTGATAGTTTGTTACTGCGAAAATTGGGGAATTGCGTAGTGACTGTAGACAAATCTTTTGCCTCCGAAATCCCTATGCAAGTTCTCATCGTTTTCTCCTGTTCACGAACTGTTCGCCCCTATTACTCTCAATAGAACCTACGAAGATTATTTCCAGATTGGTTGGTTTAGGTTTGAAGTCCATTTAGGGATTTTATCGCATTATGTGAGCTCAATTAAAAAGCACGCGACCATTTGACCAAACTTTTTGTATCAAACACGTTTGCTCATGGTTTCCAAAATATGCATATCGGTAGTTTAGGATGTAATGCAACAATGGTGGTGCGTAACAGAACCGATCCGCGGTAAATCACTTTTCAAGTCATGAAAAAAAAATTAGGCGACTGAAGGAAGGAACTCAGTCTTTTGATTGGGCACCCAGTTAGCCTGTAAATCGATAGAAAATGGGTCTAGGTGGACACTGCCGCAGTATGGCGTGGTTGTCTTCTTGTTTGTGTGTTGTGCCCAGGTTTGTGTTACATGTGTATTGATCCCCTGTACTGTGACGCCTCCACAAGAGAAGTGACAAGGCCTAAGTGTGATTCCTCTATATATAGAGTTCCGCCTTCTAAAACCGTATACTAATTGTTTTGTTCATCACAAGCGTCCAAAACCTGGCTGCCTTTGATTCATTGAACTTAACCGGGTATAGCTCCATAAATGGGGCTTCTACTTCAATTGAGTTTATGTAGTTCACACTGTAAATAACACAGATATGTCAATGAGCGGATGTTTATTAAAACTTTGGGCACCATTTAGTTGCTGTTCTTTTTCAATAAGGAGGACAGAAAAGCAAACAAATTCACAAACGGAATGTGAATAACGTAATGATATTGGTGTGAAGCGCATTGATTGATTTAAAAAACAACCCCCGAAACCAGGACCGCGGAGACGTTTCTCATTGGTAACGTTTAAGTCAGGTGATAGTCTAGAATGATGAAAGGACTGCATCACACACCGCTGGAATAGATTTAAATCATCACTATTTTATTCATGTTAGTTAGAAACAGGCAACGATGGGCTTGTACCAGGCAATTGGGACATGTGTGCATGTTGATGACAACCCAAGCGAAACAGCGAGGTAGCTAAAACACCATTTACTGATGGCAAGAAACAAGGCACTAATCATGTCGGTGTCTTTATTTACCAAATTTTCACGTTTAACATGCAATCCGTATCCAGGAGATGCATATCACGAACACGCATCTGTCCCATAACATGGATGGCGTAGTCGATGGTAGCCGTTGAACGAATTGGGTATTCATTGAATGAAATTACTTCTTGGTGTGCTCATTAAGTTTAAGCAATGAACATTCGAGCACAGCAGCTATTACATACGGTTGATCTGAATCCGTGAAATCCTTGTTTCTTGGAAAAGTTCGATACAAAATCTTTTATTAACTCTGTTCAGTGAAAGGCACGATTAGGCGAAATTCACTGAGATAAATACTTGCAAATTAAGTGACTAAAAGCATTCAAAAGTCTTACCGATGGTTCAAAGTGGGTGACACCTCCCTGATATATTCTAGAAGGCAACAGATAAATATTATGCCGTAGTGGAGAACACGAATCGAGCAGTTTACGCAAATCGACTGCAGTGCAAACCGATGAATGCGGAAGATAACGGTACCGGATCCCCATCAGTCGGAGACCAGTTAACTGACAGGGGATGCAATCCAGCAATGACTCTGACATTTCGAATAGGATTTGGTCACATGACCGACCGAAAACACCGCATTTTGCACGATAGGTGTTTGTCACTTCGTTCCACATATATTTGACAACGTAAGGCGTTCCGATTAAATCGTACAAGTCATTCAATGATTTACGTCCTTAATTTTTTAAATATCTATACTAACTCTCGGTTGATAATCGCCACAAATTTGGTTAGCGAAAACACATTGGTTGCTGTAGGGAATTCTTGTGTGCTATACAAAGCTGCGCATCTTTTAGGCAGCTATAAATTGAATGTGGACCTGTGAAGAAGAATTGAAAAAAGGGTTCAGTACGAAAACTGCAGTAGGGTTTCCTTTGGGGAGATAGTATTCACAGAATGCCATTGGGAAAATCAATGCATTCAGGACATTCAGCTTTGTGCTCACTGATAATACTTTTAGTTTCACTTATCTGATATAATAGGTAGGAAAATGACGGTAAGTTGAGATATATACCACCGGCTTGTGAGTAGAAGTCAATCCTAAGCGACGGATAGCATTCACAACCACAAAAGAAGTGTGATAGTGTATTACGTTATTTTTCTTTGTAATAGACATATTTTCCAATAGTACCTTTATTGTGGCCCCAGCATAGACTGAAATATGTAAAACACAATGAGGCGTCCATAATGTTAGGGGTTTGGATTCGACTAAGGCAGCAAATCTTTTCCCAAATGAAGTAAAACAAGAAGTTATTTAAATCTGTTAAATGGGATAATTTGGCATTTTTAAGTGTTTGGCATACGATATATCATAATGAGAATGGACCATCATCAAGCAGAACAGTATTTTATTTTTAGGCCGTTTTAACCGGAATGACAGACTTTAGAGAATCACACCGCGGGTGTGTTACCTGATAAAGTTACGTTTAATTGCCTGTTAAATAGAAAACAACAGTAATGTGTGATACATCTAAAACGATCCGTTTATTTACCTCACGAGACACATGCATTCTCTGTAAAGTGGAGATTCACTCTTTCAAAATAGTTTCCCTCTTGATGACTTTTGTAAAAAGACCTACATAGTATGACAAATCGGATAACGCATAAAACCCGTTTCTGTTTTGTCCTGTGGTCGATGGGGCACAATTGGGTCCTCATGACCAAACTCTAGAGCATGCAATGTCACTCTATCTATCTTACGAATCGATTTGGTATGGAGTGAGTAACACTGGGGTAATTATGCGCACTGCGCACATTATTGCCATTTGGGGTTGGTTAATAAACTGAATGGAGTAATGCTAGACGGAATACAATTTGCATCCTTGACTAAAAGTACAAAAATCTGGTTTAAAATCTATTCCTCTATTATCCTCTTAGCGGTTAGTTTCGCTTCGAAGAAGATCGTGTGATCAAACTGTCGCATGTTTCTCCCCTCCCCCGCCAAACACACGCTCTTACCCTCAGAGAATTCACATACTGGTCACCGCAATATTGCTGCAAAAATGTTATTGATTTAATTTGGAGCCAAAACTTTCCATTGATCAAAATGTTTAGCATTATAAATTTGAAACACTGGGTCTACTTTAACCATCGCATCAAAGCCGAAAGAAGACATGTCGCGAGATGTTAACATTTCGTTTAATCTTCTCCATCGCTGGCATAAAACAAACAAGCACATTTATAGCACATTAGATTTGTAAATCCTAGTGAACGTACAAGTGCAGTCAGGCAGGGGCTATTAGAATTGAAAAATAAGTCAACTCCACGGCAAGTGAACTGATTGAATCAACAACGTTTGGGCGCACAGAACGGGATTATGTAATCGGGTTAGCAACGCCTCCCTTATTGCCAACAGTTTTGCATTACAGTTACGTAACAACGATTTGAAGGAGGAAGCGGGATCAATTGTGTGTTTGGTTGTCATGAGGTGTTTTGCGATTGACGACCCCGGGTTAGCTGTGACCGCCTGATTGGTGGGCGTGGGTTGCGTCATCGACTTCATCAACCATTTTGGAATGTGTTCGGCCATCCGCTGTGATTGACGATTGGTTCTGCCTATGCGTCACCGCAACTACAGGTGAACTGGTATACAGTGTGGGAGACATAACTGGATTGCCAACCATGTACACGTCCAAATTGATTCCACGAGCAGAGGCAATAAGTCGGAGTTAAGCAGCTGTGAATGTGCGGTTGAGAGCTGACTTCAAATTTGGCGCACATCTTTCAGGTGATCGCCCTTATAATATAGCTTGATGTAAACGGCTTTCTGGGGAACAGTTGGCGATGGGTTACCTTTTTGAGATTATTTGATGTGAATATCAATGAATCTTTCGGGGTAACCGTTTCGTAGCAACCTTTTCTTCAGAAATTCTTCTCGTAGTATGTCTGGGGGAACCAATTCTTCTGGAGCGATGGAACGGAGTTTTTACGAGTCCACGTTTATGAGTCATGGGTGAGAGGCTAGAAAACTGTAGATATTGACCACTCCGTGTTGCTTTTCTTTGGATAGAACGCTGTAATGTACCATCTAAGCGCCTCGTAATTCTTATATCCAAAAATGCTAGAGAATCATTACTTTCTTCTTAGTGGGATACGGAAAGATGTGGATGAATAGTTAAATTGTCTCAAAAGGGATTTAAAATGTTCACGCTCCGTAAGAATAAAAATATCGTCCACATAAAGTCTGTACACACTGGACTGGGAGATATCATTGGCAAGATTTTGTTCAATCAATCCTAAAAATATATCAGCTAGAATCGGGCCTAATGGACTGCCCATGGCCACGCCATCAATCCGTTTGTATGTGGCTCCTTCGAATTAAAAACGAATGTTTTCAGTACATAGAAATATTAGTTCACTTGAGTATTCATGAGGAATGGCAAGAGAAAAATTACCTGAAGAAATATAATTACGTAAAAAACAATTGTTTCATGGAGTGGAAAATTGGTGAAAAGGGAATCCACATCTACCAAATACATCCACTGTAAAGATATGGTCAAATTTTCAAGGCAATTTGAAAGTTCAAAAGAATCTTTTAAACAATGGGGTGTTAAAGACTTACAAACGGGATTTAGAATTTCCACCAATCATCGAGCGAGTTTGTGATATGGCGATTTCTGCATACACAAAGTTGGTCTGAGAGGAGTCCCGGGTTTATGAACCTT